TTTAATCACACGGCCTATGATTCTAGCAGTCTTTTAGAACTATTTATTTTAAAAGTACATGATCTAAAACATATAAAGCAGTGAACTCTCAAATTGTGTGCAAAGCTTCTCATTTTGTCTGGGGTCCAGCGCCTCATCAGGAGAATTTAAATTTAATGCCTTTGTGCTGTTTAGCATGTCACATGTACAACACTTATCCAAAGCTCAAAACATAGATCTGTCCACATAAAATCACATTACTGATACCAAAGTTCCTAGTCCACTTCATGACTTCAAGGCTGAAAAATTACTTAGACTAGACAGTTTGATTAATTTGATTTGTTTAATAGTTTCAGATCTGTCTTCATAGATTGATTTGGGAATCAGGATTATTTATTTTAAGAGTAATACTGGAAGTAGTCAACTTGCAGCAGCAGGAGGAGGGTTTTATAGGCAAATTGTAAGATCCAAGCAGCTGTAATTGTGATGTAAGGATGGAAAATTCAGTGGAGAATAGACTAGGATGGATATTGATATGAAAGTACATGTTTAAAGATAGTATAGAAGAAAGGCTAAAAGCACCTCATGCATGTGTCCTAACATATACACCACACAGAAAATGGAAGGAAAGCACTAAACCTGCTAATTTATGATCAGATTTGACTAACAAAATGTGTGAATGAGACTATCTAGTAATTAAAAATGAAGTGTATTTTTCTTGCATCAGTTTAGTATAATATTTATTTTAGAAAGGATATATGGAAACTTGCAAAAAACTGAAGGTACTTATGTTTAGATGCTACTTTGTCTCTTCCTTTGCTCCCAAAGGCACGGGGGTGGGAGGAGGAAGAAGCTGTATTAGTTGAGTTCTGCAACAGTGGATCTCTGCCCTGGATAAATTTAATACATGCACTGTCAGTAAGATATTTTAATCTTGACTGATGAACATGTTGTAGACCATTGAGATAATCTGTTTGCGGTAGACATGATTAAATTTTTAGTGAAACAGTGACTTCTGTCAGTTGACTTTGAAATCGTGGTGACTCTGATATCTACCCATATGTCACAGGGAACAGTTTGTGCAGTGCCATATACCTTGTCCACACTTTTCCATCTGTGCTTAAACAGCAGCTAGGATTTTTCATTTTCTTTTATTGTGGAGAGCTCTTGTGTGTTTTTTTTTAATTGATAGAACAAATAAACAAAACTCCAGGCTAATTCTGCTCCTCTGTTCTTTTTTCCAGATTATGTATATATCCCTCAGATATCCCTAATTCCCACATCAATTTTTTTTTGTTCTTCTTTCACACTGCTGAAATAACAGAATTTATCTTCTTCATCTTGTGTGCAGAGTTTCTTCCTTTATAATTTTTGAGGTGGTTTGTTCTAAATTTGGTTTGGAAACTTCAGGTTGCTTGGAGCTTTTGATATGATGCTCTCTGACAAATCCCCTGTGAGTTTCTAAACTGCCAGCATCTCTTTCTAGGACTCTCCTCTCCATTTTTCCAAGCCTCTGGTATTTTTGTTTCTTGGCATAGCAAATGCCTTCCTGCTTTAACTTTATCTGATGCCTTTTTGTCTAGTCTAACACACAATTTCCACTTGAACGTATCAGAGGAGGCAAACATCCAGGCAAAAAAAAAAATTATGGTTAGTTTTGGCTTGCTCTGGTTTGAAAAAATAACAATCATGATGATTAGGAAGCCATTTTGGGCAGTGTAGAGCCTTTCTGGTTTTTGTTGTCATTCAATCACAGCTTGAATAGTATGGCTTTAGAGACTTAGTGTATCTGCTTCTCTCAGGCATTGGCTGAGAGCCAGTTGTCTGCCACTTGATCTGTACACAGTGCAAAATTACTCAAAGTGGGCTGATGAAGTGCTTGGAATGACCGAGGAGTTGGTGACAACGATACTACCCCATATCTGAATTTATTGTTATTTTGTAGCTGAAAAAATTTACTGCATTAGCTGCTGCTTTGAGATGTGCAAGCTCTAATTTTCACAGAATCACAAGGTTGGAAGAGGCCTTCAAGATCACTGAGTCCAACCTGTTCCCTGACACCTCAACTAAACCCTGGCACCAAGTGCCACATCCAGTCTTCATTCATCTTCAGCTTTTCTTCAGTCAGTGTTATGATCTGTTCTGGATGTGGCTCTGTGTAGAGTGCTGTCTTTTTTGTGGCCTCAGAAGCTAGGACAACCCAAAACTCTTCAGTCAGGATGTAAATGCTTGCTGACTAAGCAGAGGTTCACTGTACCTCTGGGTGCTGGTCAGCACAGTTATTGAATCCACTCATGAAGCCCATGAAAGGTGTGGTTCCTTGAATCTGTAAGAGGTGCAGGTCCTGAACAGCCCAGCATCTGCCTTTGTGGCACTGTACTTGAGGTAAACTGAAAGTGGAGGTGTTAGTTCTGTGTTAGGTTGGAGGGTCTTGAGCCAAGAAACCTCCAGGAAGAGCTTGTTCAATTGTTAATCTTTCCTTTTTCCTCTCTTTTCCTCTTGTTTTGAGTTTAACAAATACTGCTGTAATTTGCATTCTCCTGGACACAAAGGCTGATAGAGTGGTGCTATGGTGGCTGCAGTTTGAAGGGATTTTTGCTGTTGTGTTATTTGGACTTGGGATGCAATTTCTAAGTTCTAATCAATTCTGTAAATGATCCCAGAACTCTGGATATGTAATTTATAAATAATCAAAATAAATAACTGAGAACATTGCTGTTTCTGCAGCCATTATTCTCTTATGGCCTAAAGGCACTTAGTGTAAAACTCATGTGTCTTATTTTGGTGATACTCCCACGATCAGTTTTGTATGAGGAGTGATAGTGATGGTATCAGCCCGAGTTTGCTGGTGCCTTGTGGATGTGTAAAGGTGCACATTTGCTTTTAAAAATGAACACAAGAGGTCCACTTGCAAAAATCTCAGGTAGCAGAGACAGAAGATTGGTAAATTCCAAGTAAGAAAATATTTCAAATTGACAGAAGAGAAACTGGAAAGTAAAACCCCAGAACCTTGTGATGAAAATGTATCTAATTGTGAAGTAGAATACTCATTAAGACATTAGATTTTTTTTTTCCTGTGAGGTCTCATTTTATTTAAATTCTTCTTGCAGCTGTATTAAATAAGTCTTTGTTGTCACTTGGTTACTAGAAGTAAAATTAAACTATGCGCTTTAGTACCATTGTGGAGAAATATCTGTGCATCTTGTAGAGAATCCAGGGACTCAAAGTTTGTAGTGAAATAACTTATATCTTGGATTTAACATGTAGTGTACTGTTAGCAATAAAGTCTTAGTATAATAATCTCTGGATATCCATTGCAAAGCCAATGTGGAGGCTTAGTTATGGAATAAATAATTTGATCACTTCCATCCTAACTCTGTGGATCTTGTTTGCTATAAAATTCTGCCTTGTTAATATCAGTTTATGTAATAATTTGTAATCTATAAGCATCTTCAGAAGGAATTAAAAATTTTTTGGACTTTGAAGTTGAGGACCATATTTATTGTTAGTCACAGTCAAGGCTTTGTGGTAGAGAAGTTGACTTTAGTTCATCCCTGCATTGGGATCTGAGCCTGGGTGTGCAGAGAAGTATCCCAGTAGCTGTGACTGTAGTACCCCTTGCTGCCTGGGATGGACAATGGTAAAAAGATTTTTATGGTACTTGCAGTCATGTAGTGGAGCCAGTTGTGAACATACTGGCATTTCACAGATATGTTTTCAAAGATCCGAGAAGCGTCTACTTTGGATGTGAGAACTGAGATACTTCTTGGAGGTTCTGCTGATCTGTATGTTTTGGGAAGAACAAGTGGCATATGCTTAAAAAGGTGACGATCACTTGCTAGCTTGCAAGCTTTCCACCAGACCATGACAGTGATAAACTCATTCAGATAGTAATAATACTTTTGTAACTGTGGTTGGAAAAAAAAATTAATAAATCTAGTTACCCAGCTTCTCTTCTTCTGATTTCAGAAATTTCTGTGGCTTTGTAGCCGAGTTATGTATGAAGAGAGGAAGAAAAGTCAGGTTGAAGGTCTTCCATTGTGGAATGGTTAGTCCCAAACAGTTCAGGTTTCCTGTGGCTGTTAACAAGTGGACATAGTGTTGCTCAGCTCTTACCAGTATTACTACAGGTGGCACTACGGTCTTTGGTGAGGATATGATCTTAAAATGAGGCTCACATCCCTTTGTTCTTTTGGTTATTTTGGGTCACAGACCTCCACTCCAGAGCACCTGGTGAATTCACTTTTCAGAGGTCTCTGTTCTGCTTCGACAGGATCCTGAGAAGCGAGTGGCAGGGTGCATCTCCCCGTGGTCACAGCACGCCGGGTGTCCGCGCCGGGTGCGCTGCCAGCATTCGAGCCAGGCCAGGCCTGAGGCCTTCCAAGTGCTGCCCTGGTGAGCACTGCGTGGGCAGGAACCCACAGGATCGTCAAGACAGCTCCCAGCCCTGCAGGGCACCATTCCCAGGAGTCACTCCAATGTTGTCACTCCAATTGTCCAAACGCTCCTTGGACTGTCAGGCTGGAGCTGTGACCCTGGGGAGCTGTTCCCCTGCCAGCCACCCTCTGGGGGAATTACTAGGTGTTAAAAAAAAAAAAAAAAAGAAAAAGGGAAATTAATTATTACTTTTCACAGTGTATTTGGGGGACATTAGAGGAGACCACTAAAAGCCAAAATCCAGATGTGCCTAGCGTTTTCCACGTCTGGTTTCTCACCCCTGTGTGAAAGTAGTGATTTAATACCTCGCTTTTTGTGACAAAAATGATTCAAAGAGCCATATTTTTCAGGGCTTTTGATCTGGAGGCTTTCGCGGGTGTGCACTACCTCTTAGCACGGTACCCGGGAGGACGATCCGTGCCGGGAATCTTTTGTTTCGGGGTTTTTCCCCTCAGCGGGCACCCCCCGCGTCCCCCCCGCCGGCGGCAGCGGTGGCGCGGCCCCCGCGTTGCCCCCGCGGGCTCGGGCGCGGAGCGGCTCCCCCCGCTCGGCGATGGTTCCGCCCGCCGTGCGCGGTCATGTGCGCGGGCCCGGCCCTCCGAGCGCGGCTGGGCGGCCTCGCACAGCGCCGCGTCCCGGGCCTCCGGCGGACAAAAGGGCGCAGGGAAGCGAGACCTCCGGAAGGCGAGGGCAGGCGGTGTCGGTGGTGAACGTTTTCTGATTTTTCCAGAAATCAAGCAGAAGACTGAGCTGCTGATGTCAGTTAACTCTGAGAAGTCGTCCTCTCCAGAAAGGTACGGCCGCATCCCCGTCCGCATGAACGCGGGGCTTCTCCCTCTGCCTCCGCGGGGCTGCTGGCATTGTGCGCGTGCTGCATGCTGGATCTCGCACCGTGCCCACCCAGCCTGCCCTTCTGGCCGAGCTTTGCGCCTTGTGGCCGGGGTTGCGGGTGCCGGCGGAGCCCCGGAGCCCCGGGCTGCAGCATGCGGGTCCCGGCGGGGCTGGCTGGTGCGGACCCCGCGCCTGTCAGGCGAGCGGCGCCGGCGGAGCCCGCCGCGCTCCCCGCGCTCCTGCCCCCTCGCATCGGTAGCAAATAGAACTTGGCGAAGCGTTTCGTGCCCTGTTATGTGGAAAAGGGAGTGTCCTCTGGAAAGTAGCTCAGGAATCGCAAATCCCCCTATTAGTCACATTCTGTAAGATAGATGTGATCCCCGTTCAAGTCTGTGCTAGGAAATGGAGCAGTCGCTGCATGCAGTAATGGTTCATGCCTGCAGGTAAGGACAAAATGACTCAGAAGTGTTTTTACAGCAATTATTTTATCTGTCAATCAGATTAGTGCTATTTCAAGTAGCTGTTTCATTTTTAGGGAAATACTTCAAGGTTCTAAATGTACATTTAAGTCTTCTGACGTGAAATAGCCTCCTGGTGATTATTTTGTTGATTTTAAATAAGCCAGCCATGCTCACTTCTGTTTTGCTTACAGCTGCATTTTAAGGCATTTTTGGTTTTCAAACTGCTTCAGTCTAGAGAAACATAATACCATTTCCCCCCCATTATTTACAATAAACCTTTTAGCTGTATGCAGAAGACCCTCTGAATGTTCTGTTTCACCATTTTAATACTGGACGTTGGCAAAAAATACTGTTAATTTTAAGCTCTCAAATTGTGTTAGGCTGAAATAATGAGCTGAAGTTTATTTTATTGAATGGCTCAGCATAGAGAGACATGATAAGGCACTGAATGCTATCTTAAGGAAACAGGCTAAAAGACATCTTTCAAAATGAACGAGTGCTGTGTGGCATGGGTGGTTTGAAAAACCAAAATGAGCAATTTAATTTGATTTATAAGTATATTTATGTATGATATGTAGAAGCAAACTGCATTGCCTTTCACCAGCTGTGGTTATAACAAAATACCAGCAATAAGAGATACAGAAAATGGTGGGGGGGAATGGGATGTTAAGTCACCTTTCCAAAATGGAGAAATATCAGAAGAGCTTTGAGAGAAATTTTGCTATTTACTTGTTCAAAATTAGGAATGAGGAGAGAAAATGCAATTGTTTATTTGTTAACCTTTATCCCACTCTTATGCCTAAAATTTTTAAATACAAGACTCATAAAATGGTGGTGGTAACAGGGAGGATGATGGAGTGAAAATAGTAAAGGAAACAGGTGTTAACTTGATTTTTGGAAAGACTTACGTTGGTATTGCTGTGTGGGAATTTGGTATATAATACACATATTTATTTTATCAAAATGAATGTTATGCAGCACCCAGCATCTGTTCAGTCTGGCTTTGAGCAGAACATACTCATGGTTGAACTAATGGTAGTCCTAGATGAAGAGGTCCTTCTAAAGGATCATAACACAATTAGAAAAAGATGCCGTTGTCTGAGATTCATTTGGATGGCATAATTAAAAAGTAAGATTTTCTTTTTATCAACATGATGTATTATCATGCAATAAAGATTAATGTGGCTGTTGTATATGCACACAGATTTGAGGATTTAAATATATGGTGCTGTTCACCTGGAGATTGGTTTGACATACCGGCTGCATGGTCAGTTATAAATTAAAACATCTTTATTTCATAGGAGGTTGGTTTTTTTTTTTAAATAACCACATTCTTTTCACCTGTCTAAAAATAGACTGAATTTTTTTGCAAGCTGTTATGAAACAGTGCTGTCTATCCTATTAGCTGCCAGTTCCTTTCAAGGCTCTTTGAAAATGAATATAGAATATTTTTTAAAAAGAAATAATTATAATATTGAGTGTCTGAACTGTTAAACTGGCCTAATTTGCTCTGTAGAAGAATTGCAATGTGTATTTATGCCATACAGACATGAGAATATGCATGCTCTTGAAAAACACAGAAGGGGAATGAATTCTTGCATATTTATTTATTGCTGGTTTTTATCCTTGCTCCTAGTGGTTGGACTTCTTGTGAAGCTTGAGTTCTCCGTGTGGGAATGCTGTGTGGAAGATCTGAAAGAGTCCATGGCTTGTTTCTTGTTTTCCACGCTAGCAGAGGCTGCTAGACAGCGCTTGCATAGCCGGAGGGGAGGGGAGAGGAGGTGCTCTGTGCCTTCCCAGGCACTGATGAAATGGGAGTAGAGAAGGAAGGAGGGAGAAGCCCATTACTTGCCTCCTTCTTTGGCTGGTCTTTGTTTTTACAAGACAGTTTAGTGTTTGTAGGTTTTCCTGCTCATTTGGCAAGTTCAACGTGCTGTCACATCTTACTGATGAGAAGAAGGCTGGGGTATAATGGATGGTTTGGCTGTTATGGAGGCTCAGCATTTTAGAAATCCTGCAGCGTTCTCTTAGGATAGATGTTTGTTATGAATTTGAGAACCTTTTAGGAGACATTAGCACGAAAGTTGAACCTTTTTGTTGAGGAACCTCTGAGATGTTTAAAGACATTGGCAGCCTTGAAAAGTAAATTAATACAAACCTGAGACGTTTTTCATAGATTCTTCCTTCCTTTCCACTTGTCTTCTCCCTAGAAAAACTGAAGTTGCAGAATTGAGGCGATGAGATTAAGATAGCTGTGTTTTGGCATGCTGTGGGTATTTCACGAGCAGACACAATCAGGCAGAGTCTCTCTGCCCTGAATTTCCGAGTAGTTCAGGCTGCCCCGGGCCAAAGTCCTGGTTCCTTGTTGATAAGGTATCCCAGGTAACTGCGGATGCGAGCGTGGGCTGGGCGCTGGATCAGGTAACCCACTGCGGCTGCCGTCGCTGAATTGATTTGTTTGGATGTCTGAGCCTCAAGGAGACCATGGACACGTTTTCCTACATCGTGCTTACGATGTGACACTCACCTGGTTTCGTTATCTAATGAGTGGTAATTAAACTGCCACGTACCTCCGTGTTCTTTGCCTTTCCCTGCGGGCTGCATGAGGTTACTGCTCCAAGTCTTGCAGTGTCCTGAGGAAGCAGGTAGCAGATGGAGGCAGGATGGGCTTTTAGGAGCCCTCCAGGAAAGTAAAAATACTTTTTATTTCTGGTGTGTGAGTTAAGCACTCTTCTCATCTGCAGTATAGGGAATGCTTTGAGCTGCACAGATTTTTTTCTCCCCCTCTTTAGGGGCTGTGTGGAACTCTTGGCAAGTTTCTATTTCTTTTTGAGAAAAGTTAATTCTTTCACCTGGATGACTTGATACCCTTAAGACTTCAGACTTAATGTATGTAATACTTTTCTTTTTCACATTTTAGGACAAAGAACTTGTTATTTCTTCAGCTCTGGTTTTGGATTCTAAATTTGTGTCAGCAATGCAATTTTACCAGGGAGCCTTTTCTCTTAAAGGTTATTAGCAAGGCTGATCAGTCTGAAGTGTTTGACCTGCTCTTTTTCTTTCTTTCTACAAGTGCTGCATATGCATGTTTCTTTGAAATGAGTTTCTGCTTCAGTGTTTTTTGAAAAAATTAATAGCAGCCAGTCATGAACAGTCGTAAAGTAGGTAGCTGGTATATATATAATTAAATTTTCATCATTTTGGGGGGTTTCATAACAGTAAAGGGAAGATACTTTCAAATGACAAGTTTATGTTAATCTGTGTAGAAGTATTTGGTGTCAGGTGGTGCAGGCAAGTTTTAAGGAATAATGGTGGTTTTGGTTTGGCTTTTTGTTGGGGTTTTACTTACGCCTTGGGGTATGTATACCCCTCTATCTTTGTAATTTATCTTTGAAGAGCAAATTAATGTGTTTCTCACTGCTTTTACGTAGTTTCTTCATCAGGTCATGCCAAGGAGGCATTCAGGGATAAAGTAAAGGAGGAGGAAATCTAAAATAGTGAGAAGGAAGGAAAAAGATGGAGGCTGAGCACTGTCTGCTTCCTTTTCTGACAGACCTAATGCCAGTTGTTGGAGGAGTCATTGTGAAACAAGTTATAATGTCAAAAGATTCCTTCAGGTTTCGGAACATCAGTGATTTTTTTATTCTGTTTTTGTGTGTGTGTATTTCTTCTTTTAATTTAGTTGTGGATGTGCTACTTTTAAGGTAGAATTGTAACTTGTAATAAATATAGAAATAATGTTTAAAAGTACAATCATCAGCTAACATCGTGATGTGTAAGCTGATATTGCTGTATGTCAGATAAATGGTTTGGAATAATTGTTAGATAATAGGGCTTTATAAGATAATGATTCCATTGTTTATATAACTAACACTGAAAAAAAATGGTTGTCAGAATAATGCAACTATTTAATCAGTTCCAGTAACTTTTAAACACAATTTCAAAATACTGTATTTTCTTTAGCTCTCTTTCTGCTTTTTTTCTACTGGTTCTTTTTTATAGGATAAAAGAAATTTTGTGCATCTTCCATTTCAGGACATTATAAATCTAGTTTTAGTGTCACACAACTATAACTTTTCTGATTTGTTTAATATATGGTAACAGTGACCAATATATATTTCACCCCCCTTTTTTTCCCAAAATTACAAGCTCATTCTATTTGTTGTATTTTATCTCAGAAGCAGAAAGAAAATCATCCTAGCTTAGGGTGGGCCCTAAGCTGTTTGTCCAGGGAGGCACTTTATTCTACCACCAGCTCTGTTGGGTGACAGTGTACCTGTATATCTCTCTTAGACTAGGTGCTTCATTTTAGATCACCAGTTCTGGACCAAAATAAATCCTATATTTTGTGTGGTTTTCATATTAAAGGTTCCACAGTCTCACTTGTTTTAGCATGTGAGGCTTTTAAGTGAAATATGAAAGGGATGTGGAGGCAAGGAATGTTGCAACATGCCATTGTCCTTGTGTAGGAAAAAATGGAAATAGCTTATATAGAAGCAGCC